GCGCTCCTCTGGCGGACCAGAGAAACGCCAAACCTTAGCACGTCCCAAATACCGAAATGAGGCGTTGCTCTGGCAGCTATGGCTGAAGTATGGCACCAACTTTGGCGCTCCTCTGGCGGACCAGAGAAACGCCAAACCTTGGCACGTCCCAAATACCGAAATTAGGCGTTGCTCTGGCAGTTATGGCTGAAGTATGGCACCAACTTTGGCGCTCCTCTGGCGGACCAGAGAAGCGCCAAACCTTGGCATGCCCCGAATTCCCAGTTTAGGTTTGATTATGGCAGTTATGGCTCAAATCTGGCACCAACTTTAGCGCTCCTCTGGCGGACCAGAGCAACGGCAAACTTTGGCATGTCCAAAATACCCAAATTGGGCATTGCTGTGGCAGTTATAGCTCTAGTATTGCACTACTTCGGCAATCCTGTGGCGGACCCGAGAAAAGCCAAACTTTGGCACGTCCCAAATACCGAAATTAGGCGTTGCTCTGGCAGCTATGGCTGAAGTATGGCACCAACTTTGGCGCTCCTCTGGCGGACCAGAGAAACGCCAAACCTTGGCACGTCCCAAATACCGAAATTAGGCGTTGCTCTGGATGTTATGGCTGAAGTATGGCACCAACTTTGGCGCTCCTCTGGCGGACCAGAGAAGCGCCAAACCTTGGCATGCCCCGAATTCCCAGTTTAGGTTTTATTATGGCAGTTATGGCTCAAATTTGGCACCAACTTTCGCGCTCCTCTGGCGGACCAGAGCAACGCCAAACTTTGGCATGTCCAAAATACCCAAATTGGGCATTGCTGTGGCAGTTATAGCTCTAGTATTGCACTACTTCGGCAATCCTGTGGCGGACCCGAGAAAAGCCAAACTTTGGCACGTCCCAAATACCGAAATTAGGCGTTGCTCTGGCAGCTATGGCTGAAGTATGGCACCAACTTTGGCGCTCCTCTGGCGGACCAGAGAAACGCCAAACCTTGGCACGTCCCAAATACCGAAATTAGGCGTTGCTCTGGCAGTTATGGCTGAAGTATGGCACCAACTTTGGCACTCCTCTGGCGTACCGGAGAAGAGCCAAACTTTGGCATGCCATAGGATCGCCCAACTTAGGCTATAGTTAGGCACCGTACTTTGGCACTGATGAATGCCATGGTGCAAAAACCGAACTGCGCCAAAGTTGGGCCCTTATGTTTGCCAGACCTTTGCCCAAGTTGGGCATTCCTCTGGCGTGCTACCTGGGATAAGTAGTACAGCTAAAGTCGACTGTGGTGTACCACAAGGTAGCACTCTGGGACCAATTTTATTTAACGTTTACATAAATGATTTGGGTGTTCTACCTCTACAAGCTAAGCTATTTCAGTATGCTGACGATACGGCGCTAGTTTTACCCTATGAAAACTATGATGATGCTGTTTTAGTCTTCCAAAGAGATATAAATGAACTAATAGATTGGTTTAACTCAAATGCCATTTCAGTAAATTTTGCCAAAACTAAGTTACTGTGTTTCGGAAATTCTCATAAACGTGTTGATATGTCACCTAGAATTTTACTTCATTCGACACCGTGTAATAATTGTACTTGTAAACCTTTGCCATACGATAATTGTGTAAAATATCTAGGATTATTCGTGGACGAACATTTATCATGGAATCAACATGTGGAATTTTTGACTAAAAGACTACGTGCCGTTTCAGCATATCTGTACAGAATAAGAAGCTTGTGCAGCGTAAAGATAAGACTACTGGTGTACAGGTCGTTAGCTGAATCAATTCTACGATATGGAATCACTTTATATGGTCACTGTTCTCCATACAAGACAAATGCAATAGACAGAATTTTAAAACATATGGTGAAAAACATTACATACGGAACTCCGTACGGAACATTAGATATGGAAGATAAAGCAAAGAAGCTCCAAATTTTATTCTTTAAAAATTTTCATAGATAGGTTACGTTTATAAATTATTTCCACGATGCAACGTTCAAGGTTTCAGTGGACAAGGTTAGGGACCTAAGGCACAAAGAAAGGTTTAAAATCCCCAGAATTTACACGCGATACGGAAAAACGTGCAGAGCTCACCTTATTCCCACCTTATTTAATGAGCTCACTGAGCATTTAATGAAAATAAATTCGATAAAGGTACTAAAAAAGAAATAAAAAGATTGGTGCCTCTCATTACCTCCATAAACACTGCTTTACTCCCATCACAGTATATTTGCCTCTTAATGATTTCGATAGTTGTGTTCATTTTGTTTTGTGCCGAATTGCGGCTCTGTTTAGTATTAATGTTGGTATGAATGGCCACATTGTAGTCGTTCGATATTTTATCATGATGTATTGATATGTATTCGCTGGATTGTCTGGTCCTACGCACAAGCAGGATACTGCTTTTGTAGGCTAGCATTATTTATGTGTATTTGTAAAGGGAATAAAACACATAATTATTATTATTATTATTATTTGGCGCTTCAGCTGGACTTTTTGAAACGCATAGTTATGAAACGAAAATATAGATGGCGCTTCGAACGACGGCTGGCGGATTGAAGTGAGTGAGGGGGGTACCCCCCTCCGCGGTGGTTCCACAACTGAGCTAATCTAATAACGTTGGCTGTCACATCATGACATTATGAACCCGCTCAATTTGTCGGAAAAACTTTCCGCTCAATTTAACGGAATTTTTCCCGCCAAACTTAGCGAACCGACTAGGCCACGCACACACGCTTGCACGGCTTGGCAACGAGCTAGAGCTATGAAAAGGCTTTGCGAACGGGGCCCGATAACGCTATTGCCTTCCACTCTTAAAGGTGAAGCTTAAGCGCCATTGAATTCCTTTGTTGTTTCGTAGTCACGTTGGGCACGCGGCCCTCAGACTTCACCGGATGTCGCAAATAATTGATATCCCTACTAGGCGATATTTAATACTTCGTTTTGGGATATATATATTTTTTTAAATTTGGTTAACGGTCTTAACGTAATTTCTCATTGTAAATGGAAATGATGTTACAGGCAGAACAGATCTGTATTCGGGATTTTTACTTTGAGCACAGACCTTTCCAGTGCTTATCACCCGGACCAAAACTGCCGAGTCACTGAGCTGTGGAAGAATGCGGATTGTTTTATATACCGCAACACAGATCTACAGCGCAAGCTCAGGAAGCGTTCCACAACCCAAAAAACAAAGATGACAGCGTCCAGAAGGCGATTTTGGAAAGGTCTATAAAAACACGTAAAACAGTTTCCCCCGATTGCCTCTACGGCTGATATGCCCCAGCGATAGCGGGGTATAAATTTATTCAAAAATAATTGAGTTAATATTTGTTTTATTCGTTGAGGTGAGTTGTAATTAAGCTACAATTAGAGTTTTGTTCTTACAATTGTAACCAGTTATAGTAACAGCTATTAACGGCAACTAAGTTGCATTACAGTTAACTATACTTCATGACTTAAAGAGGGGCTACAGGTGGTGTGATTACCGACGTGCCGTTCAGTCTCCTGTTTAGACGTGTTTTCTTTTACTCTCAACTCACTGCATGTTTCAACGCAGTGGCGTAGATCTCGTGTCTCTATTACAGCAGTCGAAATAGTGCTGATTTGTGAGCGTAATATATTGCAGTGCATGAACACCCGCAATAGAACGTAACCAAGCTTGTATGTGCGTGAGTAGAATACATTCAAACAACAAAAGAAGTCTTTATTAAGAATGCAAGTATATCTAAACGGAAACTATTGGCATCGCCACTCATGGTGCGAAATGAATTACCCAGAAACAAGTTTACGCCGTCAAAAGACTTCTGGAATTAAAGTTTTGAAGACTAACATAATAAAATGTGTTGTTAATATTTAAGAGCATTTCAACGTTTCAGTCTGGCAAGCTCCTGTGGTCGTTGAACTGCTGCACCACTTGATAGGCGGGTATTGTGCATGATAAATTCCACACCAACAAGTGGCAGCTTTTTGAAACTATCGCGAAGCTTCGACGGCCGGAGTGTGAGCCTTATAGACGTTGCTCTTTTTCGGCTCAAAGCCGGTCTAGTATTGCCTAGGTTCTGATTCCGCACAAGCTTGCCAGAATACACAAATGCCTTCCGTAAACAACAGTGCCCCCACCCGAGGAGATTATCTAGAATTTTTAAACTTAACTGTTTTTAAACCACATTGCGATTTACACGAGAATGCAAGTAAGCCAAAGTTACATTTGCTAACATGATATTGAACCTTGCAAAATATTAAGGTACTAAATTTGTAACATTGCAGAAACCTAAATACATGTAATTAGTTGCTTCACTACCCTAGTACCACTAGGCCCGGCTCATACTTTGGCCAGCTTGGCTCGAGCTGTGGCCAGGCTTGAGCCGATTTCACTCTAGCTCGCGCCAACCTGGCCCAAGCCGAGGCCGTGGAAATGTGCTGCTTGGGACTCCGGTTTGCGGGCTCGTATCCCCCACGAAAGCTAAGAGTAGTCTTGTATCAAGCAGTGATACCTTATTCAAATCCAGAAAGCTCTCTATATCTTCCTCTTTCTCTTTCCATTTATTTTTGTTCCGGCCCCTCATGCCGTCTGCGTTTTTGTCTACCTCGGTTACAAATACAAATGTGTTCCCGACAGCGCAGCAACAGCAAAAGCGACGGCGGTCGATACACGACACGGGACGTTATCCGGATCGTGTCCGGAAAACAAACTGTCCCTAATGTTTCAAGACAACGCGCCCAGCACGGAAGTCGTTTTCACACGGACACGTGTTTGCTCTATTCAGGTTTCCGAGCAGTAGTTCAGCCGCTTTAGATGAAGGTAAACACGGGTTTGCCGTAATGCCGGAAATGAGTTTTCTGCCACACAAGATAAATGTTGGAAAACAATCTTGTCGTTTGGCCCATATGTTTGTTTTGCTGCGGTGTTGTTTTCACTAATAATTTTGGTTTCTTTGGGTGCTTGAAACAAGGAATGTTTACTAAAGAACCGGGTGATCACACTGACATTTTCTTCGGTGTTTTTTAAATGCAGATTATCTTGGCCGATCAAGACTCCAAAATGCAGCTCAGCGCTCTTCAAGAGGCCATGTTGGATTGCCTCAAGAACAACAGCAGCGCAGTCTTTGACTCTGGCGGTGAGTTCTCGTCACACTGGCAGGAATTCATAGTTTTACGTTACACCTAAAAAGCTTTCGCTATTGATGGGACTGTATATTTTGAAAGTAGCGTACTTACGTGGGAACTTGTATAAACAAACGATTTCATCAAGCTACATTCTCAATCCTCTGGCTTTGTTTAGGCAGCAGACAACCTTCAAGACAAATTCTAGAGACGAATATGAGTTAAGGTTTCCATTGCCTTGAGTTGTTCACCTTCATTCTGATGGAGCGACGCCATCGTTTTCCTCCGCTAACTTAGGCGTTCTTTCGCACGAATACGGCATGTGCATACACCGCCTAGAAAAATAAAGGCCCAGGTACAGCCTGCTCTAACTCCCCTCAACATCATCACAGTAGGCTGACGTCAATTCAGCAACTGGGCAAGAGCCCGACTCCGAGCGTTCTCCTACACGTTGAGTGAACACGAGGTCCGGTTAGACGCAAACACAGCACTCGTCTCTAGTCTGTGTCTGCACTCATCTTACCACTGTGACGTAAAACGGTTAAGTGCACCGGCTTTTAACTTGAATGTGGTGTTGAACATATCCGTATGTTGTTGGAGAACGAGCAAAGCTGAACAGCTCCAGCCAAAGTCAAGTTTGTTTCAGATATGTGATCGTCCAAGCAGCGCAGTTGAGATGATTTGCGTGGACACTCGCTGATGTTACTCTCCTCATCCCCACCTCCGCTCACGCTGTGTAAGAGGGTAGGAAACTAAGAATTATGTATTAGTGGAGCAACCAAGTACCTGCAGAGGCGCGCGTTTCACGGTAAGATCATATAGGCGCTGGGGCAAGGTTTCAGAGCGCGCTACCATTGGTTCATCATCAGCGCCACCAGGGCCAAATGAGGCAACAGTGGGACGGCTAAAATCGGTAGCGCCGCCGGCGTACCCTCGCGTGGCTAAGTTATTACCAACTCCGAGCGCTGTGTTGTCGCGCGCTATATTACCGACTGTTTAAAAAAAAAATGTATAAAATATTTATGCGCGTGATTGTATCATTGTAGCAGTAGAATATTTTAGTAGGTGCCTCGCTCGATAGTTTTAGACAAAAAAAAACGGGAACTAGCAGAACAAAATTTAACGTTCTGATATTACGGTAAGCTTTAAGTGAAAGCAAGTTGGAGAATGCAGTTTTCAACCTTTTTTACGTTATTTACGCGCCTCAAAATTACAGAAGGGAAAACTTCGTCGAGCCTTCCTCCTATACAAAAGCGGATCTAAAAGACCCCCCCCCCCCCTCCTCCGCCCCGCCGCCCCTCCCCCACCCTCACCTACTTTTCAATTTTGAAGTGAACGCTTCCCGCATAAATAGCTGACCTGATTTCGAGAATCAGCTTCTTTCCTGTTCCCTAGTCGAGATAATGAAAACGATTGTGGTGTCCAAGAAATGCGTCTTTTGTGCAAGCTGGCTGAGGTTTGAATAGTGTCGTACGCAATTGCTAGTCGCAAGCTGATGCTCGTTCTCGTCGATTGGATATGTTGTTCTGTTCTACATAGAATACAAATAAACACTGCACGGATAACCTTTTCTTGTGGTGTACGTTCATTCTTTTATTTGTTGAGTAGGCTGTTTCTTAGAAGCAGGGACGAAGTTAGATACCGCATAGACGCGGGTCGGAATACAAGAACTATATTGGGCAGCTTTGCGATCACGCTAAAGACGCAAACGCCAGTTCGCTCTGCAACCGGCGAAGTGGAGAATACGCACATTCCAGTAACGCTCAAACGACATTGAAACCTCATTCGATCGAGTTGTATCCGCGGAGGAGAGCTCAGCGAGAGTACCAAAAAAATGTTTCTAACTCCAGATAGTCATCGCATCAAACTACTTTAGAGTAAAAGAGACTCCTCCCGAGAAAAAAACAAGCAATCACGACGGAAGTCAAATATAAACACTAAAAACTCATACTAATCAACCAAATAAGTAATTAAAGCTTATAAGCACCTTTTGTGTTAGTAAACAACATACGGTTTCTATTAAAAACTTTCCGATCGTCTGAAAAACAAACACTAAATCAGTTAATTTTAAGGAGAAGCACCTGTGAAGTGTGCGGGGGGGGGGGGGGGGGGGCGCTAAACTTTTCGCTTGTGCAGCAAGCACAAGGTTGGCAATGCAAAAACGAGGGTGATAAGAATACCACCCGCGCTTTCGAGTCGTAAATCTTGTGACTGCAAACGGAGTGAATACTTTATCACACCCGCAGGCTTCACAAGTGCTTTAAGACTTCCTAAAATTCACTCTTCTAACCGCTTTTGATGGGGCTTAGAAAGGTTTTAACGTAAACCAGGTATATATTTTCACAACCGAAAAGTAAAATAGTAGGTTTTAGTTCATTATTAACTTATTAGTATATCTCTTGCAACGCCTGATATCAGCCGTGACTGGCAGTTGATTCCTGAAAAAAGTTTCTTTTTCTCTTAACACCACTGTAGCTCGGAATATTTCAGTATTCACTAAAACACACGATAGTATATCGCGCTTAAATAAATACTCCAACTCTGGCAAATATCGCGGTGCCGATCAATTGAAAAGAGCTGTCCGAGAGCTACCATGATTTTGTTAGTGGTTTCGTTGTCACCTAATGATGAAAGCGTTTGCTACTAAACATTTGGTCAATTTTGGAATCTTCGATATAAAACGCCCAATATAATTTCTGTTTAAATACATCCTGCGATTGAGGCAAATAGTGCGGTGCTGTTCGATGAGAACAAAGTATCCGAGATATACCGTGGAGTTTGTAAATTCGAAATGAGCTGAGCTCAGCAAGCGAGAAGGTTGACGCGTTTGTTACGAAGCATTTGGCCCCTTCTACGAAATCCCAATTGGAACAACCAATATAATTTGTGTTTCAAGATTTCCTCAGACTCAGGCAAATATTTCAGTGCTGTTCGATGAGAAAAAAAGATAGTCGAAAGTTAGCGTGGAGTTGTTTGTGGTTTGAAGTCAGTTGAGCTCAGAAAGGAACAAGATTAATGCTTTTCTTTTGATACACTCAGCCACTCCGTTGAGGTATAAAATGGTACACGTTCAGTGACGGCATGACCTCATAGAGTTCTCACTTCATATTCCCTTGGTAGAGTCATAACTGGTGTCCGCACTGCAGAAGTTTACTATTTGAGCACTTCTTTCTGCCACTATCTGGAAATAACGAAGCCTGCGTTTTGTAACAACGGTTCAAATATTTTTACTGGTGTAAATGCCTTCTCATTTTAAAAGGGGTATTGTTCATAATCAGCCTTATAAATTTGATTTCCCAGGCACAAACACCACCTGGCATATATATATATATATTTTTTTTTTCATTTTAAAAGCCTGTGGCAAGTGCTCTCAAGAAAAACCTTTGCACGACAACAAAATGACGGCTTTTTGACGAAGAGAACGTGAAAGTCAGAAGGTTCCGTTCTCTTATGAAATCAAGCTAGGCCGGTGCAGTGTAGGCGCGTCAGCACATCTAATTGTTTTATAGGCGTATAAAGCTTCACATATTTATATTTGTTTTGCCAAACATGCGCAGTAATGGTCTTTGTCTCCGATAGAGCTTAGGAACCACCATTGGGAACCTAATTGAGGCGCAGGAAGTCTTGCTCACATCGGGTTGTTTTCCGCTGAAGTACTACCGGCACATCCGGTAGGACAACTCTGGCTATCGTCCCGACACTTCTTAAAGGGGCCCTGCAACAACTTTTTGACTGGGTTTTAATTTGCACCGAACCTAGAGCGCACTGAACGTCGTAACTAAAAGAAACCTTTCTTTTCTCAAACTTCGCTTTATTTTAAAAGTTATAGGCAAATTCGAATTACAAAAACAAGCAAAAAAGAACCTCCTTCATGACGTCTTAGGTCCTGGCTTGAGTGGACGTCAAGTAGAGGAGGAGAAGTGAGCTCATGGAGCGCTCACGGCTGCCGCACGCGGTGTCGACGGCTCGAGAGGGAGCCACTAAAGCACGTGTTGGATATGCTGTATGAAGCGGGCGGCCAGGGCGGCTCGCATTGCATTTGCTGCGCGGTTAAAGACTAATTTGGCATAACACTTTATTTGGCCACAAACGACAGCAAACACGGGGTAAAAATCAGTTTAGAACGGGAGCCACTTCGCGCTGTCATACCGCGAAATGGCCAAATCGGCAGCCAAGCCCACGCCGAAAGAATTCGGAAAGCTTTGAACCGGTCGGATCCTCGAGCCGGTATTCGCGACTCCAACTAACTATAGGTGGCGCCACTCATTTTCTAAGATAGCGGTTATAGTGAGGGTCGGAGATGCGTGCCGGCTGTTGAGCCTGTCTAGTGTGCTGGCTGGCTTCACTGGGCGACACAAATTATTTCTGGTAATACGAGGAAGCTAGGGTGTTATGAGCGCAGGTCCACTCTTTACCCTGAAAACAGGAACGGTGTTTAGCGTAAAATTAACGCAATGGTGCGCGTTTTAATTCTGGAGCGAAACCGAAACTAACATCGATTTTGGATTTAATTTATTGATATAGGTGAGTAGATGGTAGGTAGGTTGTTTTCCCCGACCTCGATGGACCACCCTGAAGTTGCCGTCGAGGACCGGGGGACCGTGGATGAAGTAGAGTTGCTGGAGGGCTGGATGCGTTGGTGGTGATGGAGAGGCGACCGACAACTCGGAGGGTTAACGAGATGAACGAAACTTTACTTCGATTTAAAAAAAAAAGTATCAAACAGTTACATAAAAGACAAGTACGAACAGATTCCGCGCTGTAATAAACTGCCGCGCACGGCTCACAGACTGAGACGCCTCGGCGTCAGATGATCCTGCCGCGCACGGTAGGGACGGCGACTACCTTGTAGCCGCGAAGAGAAAGACGCTGTCGCGCACGACAGGTAACGCGGCGCACCGCGTGAGCTGAATGTCAGTGGGGTCGCTCACGAGCCAGTTCCAAAACTCAAAGATTTCCCTGTCTGGTCAGGGTCTAAGACAGCGTGCTCGAACCCGTTAAGGCCAATCAGGGT